ACCCAACTTTGGTGGTAGACAGCTTTGCTGTCGTCCGGATCAAAACCACGTCTAACCTAGCGTGGCCCTATGTGGGTCGCCACTCCAAGTCCTAGGGCTTAGGTTACCAGTTTTCTTCACTGAACAGCAGGTCTTCGTGACTATGGGGTTTACCCCGTCTACCGTTAATCACACCAAGGTGTGTAACATAAACAGTGAACCAGTCCGAACAGTTGTAACAGTGAAGAACGCATTGTGTTGGTGGTAGATGGTATTACTGTGTGCAATATTCGGGAAGAGCGATTTTTCGAGTTTACGAAGCGGAGGCATGTGCGAATCACCATCATCATAATAATAATTGTACAGCGTAATACAGCGAAGCGAAATTCACTAATCGCTGCTAAACTCATAATGCATACGAGGTAAGTGACAATGTGTAAGGCGGACACTTGCCTTGGCGTGGGCAACCTGGCATTATTCCGCAGGTTGAATAGTATCAAAATGTTGTTACGGGGCTGATTTGATCCAGCTTCCAACATCACTCTAACTGGGAAAGAAATAGAGATAGCGAAAAATGCCATTTAAGCATCTACATCTAACCTGGTGGAAGAATCCGGCAGACAGAAGGCTTTGGGGGGGGGGTATTTGTCAACTTGAGATATCGTCATAATATTCGCCTGTCTATGAAGAGTTGAGTGTGTTGCAGCAGTTCGGCCGGTAATGCCATATGGTGCAGAGACTTCACCGTCACGGAAACAAGACATGTTCAGACTAGCAGTTTTTGAACACCACTATCTGTTGCACATTGCACGAGTCTGCTGGGAACCCGGACAAGCAACGCTGAGATTGAAGGTCGCGATTTCGGTAATCGAGAGCACGCACCGGACTAAGTGCTTAACAACCATGGATGAAGATGATAGGGGCGTGCTAAGCATGTCACAAAATAAACTGCCACTGTGTAATGCTTACTGAGGCAGGCAGTGTGTGAAAAGACCAAAGGCCAAGCTGAAACCTCGCATGAGGGTGCAAAACCCTCACCAGGAATCTCGGGCATAAAGGTTGATGTGAACGATGGTTAGAAACACTCGTGCATCCACTTAATTTCTTTTCAACCATAGCCTACCTGGATTATCTAATCTCACGTCGACACTACTTCCAACAGTCTAGTCTTCCCTCTATTCCTTCGTCAAAATGGGTAGCTAAGAGACAGTAACCAAAACTGAAAAATCCGTATGAGAACACATGGTTAATAGTTGAAAAAAACTGGGACTGAATGGAAGTGCTTTCGTATGTGTCTCTCAGAAACAACAAACGCCTAAAGTGAATTTCCTCCGAAAGCCTCAGTATGGTCGGGGGTGGGTTTCTAGGGTTGTGGCTGGTCACCCTTTCCCTGCACCACGCGAAATGCTCCCATACGACCAAGTGTCTTAAACAGTCTCTGTTGAGGAAGTCCTCCTCACTGCCTTCTCGTGGCGGAGTTGTTTTCGCACCAAAGTGAGAGGACGAAAAGCGGACATCCGGGGCTATAACTGGGTTGGTGGACCACTGGCAGCTCACCTAGGGGAGTTGATCAAAAACCCTGATTCCAAACCAACCAAGAGGAGGCGTACGAACCACACACCTTCGCGGTTGTGGCAGTGGTCACCGGCTCAATTGGGCATCAAGGTGTATTGAGCACCTTGGACAGTTGACCCCGTCCAAAGGG